ACCCTGTAGTTTAACAGTGTCTATAACGTGTTGTGGAAAAAATGCACTGTGAACAAAATGAAGTCGACATGTAGCCACGATGAGCTGGTCCTGATGCTTCTAAACAGGAAATGGAAACTTCTCAGGAGAAGACAACAGCAGGGCGAATGTGATGGCCTGATCCAGGACTTTATCACAACCGTGGATATTTCAGGATGTCGGTGGGGCAGTTTGAGCTCTTGTTGGCAGAGTGTGGACCTCATCTCAGGGTGCAGAGAAATCATTTAACAGAGCTGATTGTCCCAGAGCAGCATGTAGCTGTGCGTCTGATGTAAAACAGTATTATTTCACTATTTGTGTATTCCGTAACAGTGCACGCTTTGAGCTACAAACGCTTGATGCCAAAAGTTCTGATTGGTCTGATCAGCTGATTTGAATCGTAAAAATTGAGCATGGCTCGAAAAAATAAATCCAGTGAAATCATTCGCTCTGTGTTATCGAAGAGTAGGTGAGTCTGGCAGTTTCCACCAAAACAGTTAGTTAGTGTGACTGAGCCTAAACTTACACTGGTGTAAAACTGCATTTTCTAACAAAGCCTAGAAAAGAGTTTCACATAAAGTACACGTATTGTTGCTGTTTGCAGACAAACAACCAGCAAACTAGCAACAAACTGAAAAACTGACATTTACGTCTTCTATAAAAAACGGTTTTTGCTAATGGTACCACCGCAAATCAGAATTGATTCAGAATTATGTGAGGCTTTAGTTTTTTTTAGCTAATCTTGAAAATATAAAGTGCAGGTATAGCTAAGGTAGAAGATTACAAATATTGCTTTCATGTAGTTTACACACAAGCAGTTTCTACCTTATTAGCAAGCAGCTAACACTACTAGCATACAAGACAAGGGGTAGGTAGCGCTGTGTCTTTCTAGAATTATCAAAAATGTTAATTAGTTTGTTTTGATTCATTATTTTATATATAAAGTGAGCTTTCTCACTTGAGGACATTTAAGGGCAATTTCATTTAATTTGCACTTCAATGTAACATTTTAAAAAGTCACTAAATGTCCAAAACGTCTTCGAGTCTTTAAGCTAATTTAAGCTATTTTAATGCAATATTGAGTGTTTTATTTAACAAAAAAATTGCGTTATAAGTGTTTTATGATCCGTATAATGCTCCTTGTGTCATTTGCACTAATTATTGCCTGCTGGTTTGTATTTATACTGGGTTTTGTGCAGAAAATATTTGCTTGTAGCTTTAAGGCTACTGGAGAGTCTGCTGAGTGGTCATTTAGCTTAGTGAGTTATCTTACCTATGAACTGATGGCAATTTCTTCTTTACTTTTCTTTACTGTAACATCTGTATGAATGCTCCATTCTCAGTGCTATCACAGTAAAGATCAGCCTCGGGAGGATTTTTGACTTAATCTCTTAATACAGATGAATGTTTAAAACCAGTTTTCCCTAAACTAGTGTTGTAACAACGAGAAAATATCAACAAAATAAATCTCTGAAAAGAATAGAGAAAATATCCGCATGGCGCTAACGCAGCTCCTTATTTTCAATGCTAACTACATGCTAACATGTTATTCGCTAGCTTCATATTTTCGTTCTTTGATTCTCGCTACAGTAGCTATGCATGGTTCACAATCTTTATGCAGACCCCCCCCCCCCAAACAGCCTACTCTTGTCTGATTGGTCAGGTGGGGTGCAGGTATTCAAACAAATAAATATAATAAATATATATCACATAAAATACAGAAAAGCTAATAGATCCCCTTGAAATATACGACTAGCTGGGCTAGTTGGCATTGATCAGGACGAGGTTAACCGATGGTGATTTTTCCTCTGTTATAATCAGATGTAGCTCAAATTTTATGTAGTATTTCATATACTACGATGTTATATTGTATATGTGAATACATGAAACATGCAAAAGTGGGGAAATCAGCTGTAGCAAACTTAATCTCACCAGCTAGCTTTAATTAGCCACGATGCAGACACTAGAG